CAAGGTGGCGATACCTTAGTGAGTCATATACCATTGTAAGTAACTATTCAAATTACTTAGTCACCTAAAATTGCACAATCCCTTATGTGGACACTGATATGAAAGCCTCAGACAGAATTGAAGCAGGGTTCTGCTGCACATCACTCTGTTTTTGTGGGAAAGGTGATGACATGCTTCTCTGCCTCCACTTCACCATGTCTTAAGGGAACAGAAACGCTAGGACACAGCAAGTCGGCGACTTCTCTTATGGCCACCACTGTGGCTTCGGAGCGTGGTTGCCTGGCAGCAGTTTTATTTCCGTTACCAACGATGCCCTGATAGCCAAGTCTTCGGGGGTTACTCCAATTTGCAGGTGGTGAACAACTTTTGTCATTATCTTCGCATTTACCAAGCTACCGAGAAAGGCAGCATTTGGCTCTTTCTTTTCTGGCAGTTGCTAATTTTAAGCCTTATTTTGACAGAAAAATAGTGAGTACCAACTAATTAAAGTTGTATGAATTGTGATAACACCTTTGTTGCTTAAAATGATAAGCTGTATACTCTTTTTAAGAATTGTACTCTTTTTAAGAGTCAGCATTTCACAGGAGAATTGGATGAGGTAGAATTTCTTTCGAGGTTTATTAGTATTATTTCAGATTAGGTTGGTGTCAATGAGAAGGATGAGATCAGTTCATCTGTAGTCTTTTCCTTTGTTTCCGTTTATGCTGTTGGGTTTTTAAGAGTGTGGATGTTAGGAGCATCCTTAACTCCTCACATTAATGTAATATATAGACATCATAACTTCAGGTAAAAGAAAGAGAAGCATCTTCCTCTTGGCATCTATTTTTAAATTTTATATTTGAATTTTTTTCTCTCAATGTCCATATAATCACTTACATATAAAAAAGAATATCAACAGGGTTTCAATTTAGTTTAATTATGCAGATAGGAGTTCTAGGGACACATTTTTCTAAGTTGGTTGTCACACTAGTGGATTTTTTGTTTATTCATATTTTTTAACATACTGCATTTCTGCTTCTTTGTGGTATATAACTCTATAATAAGATGTGTGTAGAAATTAATTAAAGTATACATGGGGAAGATACATTATATCATAATATAATGTATAGAAATTAATTAAATGTGTAGAAATTAAAGTATACATGGGGAAGATACATTATACTAGAGTATTTGAAGAAGAATTAGAATGTGTCATCAGTTAAATAGTATTGCATATTGGAAAGCACCTGGCCAGTTCTTGATACCCAGGAAAGCTTCAAAAAATTCATTCAATCAACAAATATTGTTAGGACATTTATACTGTACCAGGTACTACTGTAGGCATTGGCATACATCACTGAATAAAACAGCCAAAACTCCCAGCTACTGTGGAACTTCTAGTTTCCTTCCCTTCCTTTGTGGGGTAGTTTCTAGGAGGAAAAATTGTGATTTCACCCAGCCTATTCAGTAGTCTCACCCTAGATTCACATTCAGTTAATACTTACAAATACTAATTTTCTGTTACTTTAAAGGTACTTTTGTATTCAGTTATCTTATTCTTTGGAATGGTGCTATGAAAAGGGATTTTTTAAGTTCTCATTTTACAAATAAGGAATCAGAAACTTAGAAATTGGAGCCAAGATTTGAAGCCACACTTTCTGATTCAGAGCCCCCTGTTCTTTCTATTATGGCACTTGTAGCAAAAACAGCATGATGGCTTTTATTCATTCCACTGTCTGTTTTGTTTCAGTTCTGCAAACATTTGTAGAACTGAATGCTAGATCTCAGACCTGTTCTGGGAATGCAAAGAGTGTTTAGTCCCTGCCCTGAGGAGTTCAGGGTTTAGTAGGGAAGACTGTTGGCATATAAGTAGGCATGCAGTGTGCTAAGTGTAAGGCTAATGCTATTTATAGATTCTTGGAAGCACAGAGGAGGGGCACCTAATCTAGAACAGGGTTAGGACATGTCCAAAAAGACACCCTGGAGGAGATCATCCATGAGCTGAGTCTGAAAGAATAACTTAGCCAAGGACAAGGGAGGAGATATGAGCAACAGCAGAAATGAATGGTGAATTGTAGAGAAGTGCATAGGCTTTTAGAGTTGCCAGAGTGTAAAGCATGAAGCCAGAAATGGCCAGGGATCAGGCTAGCGTGGTTAGTAGAAACCAAATGAAACCATATGCTACAGACAGAACTTTACTAGGACCACTTGTATAGGTATCTTTAAACCAGTTATCCATCCAGTCCAGTCAGCTATAGCCAGAGCAGAAGAATTGCAAAACATAGTGACTTGTACTTAAGGAATTGCTCAGAAGGGGACCATTGGGAAAACGGGCATGTCATACACTGTGAGGCCTCCCAGAGTAAGTAATGTTGCTCAGTGCATAGTTATAGTTGGTCCAGGACAGAAGACTGGCCTAGCTTGGAGATAGTAAATTTTTAGTGGCATCATTGTGTTTGCCTATGTGGTCTTCCTGAACGGCTTAGGCATGGGATTAGAATTTAAACATTGGTACAGTTTTTTATTTTGGGTAGCTGATCATTACGAGAATGGAGGTTGTTAGTTAATAAATAGCTTCAAATGATTGACCATGAAGTCCAAGTTGGATAGAAAACAGGGACAGGGAAAAATGGTGTGGTCAAGAGACTGGAGGTTTCTGTGAAGTTGAAGAGCAGATGTATTGGAAGAAATATACGGTTAGGAAGAACGGTCAAAGGTGAATATTACTCCTTAAGATGTCTGAGGTGGAGATTCTCTGAATGATGATAAGATCTAGGTTATGGCTCTAGGAGTGGGTGGCTAGAGAGGAGGATAAGGATTTTGGAGTCAAGGAATTATGAAGCTACGATAGTAGATGGATCACTACCTGGTTATTTACTAGTATGGTGTTAGGAGTCAAGAGGTGGAACTATTGTAAACCTGGGGCTAATGTCCTTAATGATTAAAGGAAATTGAAGGAGAGATTAATTCATGAGAACAGCAAGGAATAATAAAGGATACTAAATCAAGATGGTATAAACCTCAAGAATATGCTTTATTTCAAACCAGAATTTTATGGAATGAAATTATCTTATGAAATAATAAATTGATTCCAAACTATTATTTTATGGAACAATGGTTTGAAAGCTGTCATAGTAAGTTTGGAAAACCCCAGCACCCCAGCCTGGGTACCTCTAAATATTGAACAAAGGATAATGAAAAACTTCCATCAAATAGGGTTCTAAGCTAAATTGTATTCTCAGGTGAAAACCATGTTTCAGTCATGTCAAGAAGATGAAAAAAAAAAAAAAGGAATTTTACATAGCATACACTATTATCTCTGTGGAATATCATGGCTATTTTAAAATTTCCTCTATCTGTGTTCCACAAAGTACCATAATTTCATGTGTATAGTTATCATATATTTATTGAACACTAACTAAAATTTAGACACGGTGGTAGAAATTAGTTAGATATATATAGCTCTATACTTACCCTAAAAAGTTTAAAGGACAGTGGAAGCAATAATTATACATTAATAGCTGGATAAACTTCCTCTCTAATCTTATTTTCCACTATCCTAATCATATGCCAGCCAGACTAAATCTACTAAATGCATGCCCTGTGTGTTCTTGCCTCCATGCCATTTCTCATGCTGTGTTCCTTGGCACCCCGAAACCCAAATTCAGTCTGCCTTTCGGATCTAGCATATTCCATTTTCCCATATAACTTTCGCTTATTTCTCCAGATGATGTAATCTCTTTTTTCTCTGAATTCCTAAAATCATTTCCTATGTACCTCTCTAAAATAACACATTGTTTCATCACTTCTAAGATGCACATTTTTTTTTTCACTGTTTAACATCTCTGGAGATTACTGTTTGAAGATATGCTCTGTCATCAACATCCTCAAAAGAATACAGGATGATAGTCTATGAAAAGACATGAATGACAACTCCTCTGAGTCAAACAGTAGCTCAGAGAATGAAGAATTAGGACTACCTTAACTAATTTATTTTGTGTATATCCTTTTTTTTTTTTAATAAGTTTTTATTGATTTCAGAGAGGAAAAGAGAGGGAGAGAGAGAAAGAAACATAAATGATGAGAATCATTGATTGGCTGTCTCCTGCATATCCCCCACAACTAGGGATTGAGCCCGCAACCCAGCCATGTGCCCTTGGCTGGAATTGAACCTGGGACCCCTTCAGTCTTCAGGCTGATGCTCTATCCACTGACCCAAATCTGCTAGGGCCAACAAATTCTTTATTGAAAGACCATTATTTACTAGGTGCTAAGAAAGGAAGATGTTCTAGGAACTTTAGTTCGGTGTAAAGTAGCAGGAGGCAAGCAGGGGCCAAATCCTATAAAGGATTTTGTTCTTTTGAAGTTTAGATACTTCAGTGGTTTCATAAATGATACTTTCATTTTAAAATAATTTCTCTACATTTGAAACTTAATTTTACAATATATCCAACTTGATATAGACCAAGTTTTAACACTTTTGACACCATAACATGTTATTCTGTACTGATTACTTAATATTTTTTTAAATCCCTCAATGCACCAAATAACTTCTCACCTCAGGGCCTTTGCATATGCTGCTCTCTCTCTCTCTCTCTCTCTCTCTTTTTTTTTTTTTTTTCTTCTTCTTTAATTTAGTTGAGAAAATTACTGGATCCTATTTCTATTGAAATTGTTGACACCATCTTCTATATCTTTCTGTATTATGTTGTTATGTTTTTAAAATATATTGTTAGAATTAGTTTTTCTACTATTGCTAGTATAGAAATTAAGAAATAAGAAATGAAATGCTATCAAAAAGTTTAATTATCCCAATTATGATAAAAGAAAAACAAAGTGATCTCATTATCAGGTGGTTTCAAGCAACTGTTATTTACAAATTAAAAAATTAAATGCTGAGCTCTGTTTCTGGTCTTCATTTTAAAAATCTGAATAGCGTTTGCAACGGTAGTGCAGAAGAATTTGGAGACAGCAGGGTTCCCTCCTGGTTCTCTCCCATCACCTCTGCCTTTTCGTTCTAGGGGTTCTTCAGCAAGCGCCTGAAAGGCTCCATCAAGAGGACCAAAAGCCAATCAAAGCTTGACAGAAACACCAGCTTTCGGCTTCCATCTCTTCGCAATACAGATGACAGGTAGGAAATTAACTTGCTTAAAACAGAAAAAGCGGTTTTACAGTGGGGTGTTTTTTTTGTTTGTTTGTTTTTTATAAGGCATGTTGGCCATCTGTAACTTTGCATCAAGAACAATTGGAAATATCCAATACAAAACTTACTTTTTTGTCTTGGTCATATTAAAGCAAGGTCTAAAATATTGATTCAAATACCTAGCCAGTTTAAGAATCTTGAAATATTGGAGAATGTATGGGTACATAGTACTGTTTTATAGAATCAAGTTCTACTGGTCAGAAATATGCTTTTATTTATTTATTTATTTATTTATTTATTTATTTATTTTTTGTAGAATGATGGTGGTGATGTTAGCTAACATTTTTATGGGCACTGTACCAAATGCTTTATATACATTTTCTTGTTTAATCTTTATACTAATCCTATAAGATATGAAGTTAACCTCTTATAATCCTACTAGAGGCCTGATGGACAAAATTTGTGCAAGGGGCCTGGCCCTCGCAGCCATGACCACTTGCTCTTGCAGCCCCGGCTTCTTCTAGAAGGTCATCCGGCTGTTCAGTCTGATTAGCATATTACACTTTTATTATTATAGATAAGTGACAAAAATGGTATTTGAACTTTGGCAGTTTGGCTCCAGGGGTCCACACTCTTCACTGCTATGTTTTCCTTGTCCAGCATATGGATTAGGTCTTATTGCTTTTCAGTGGCGTCTAGAAGACATGTATGAAAAGGAAGCCTGGATTTCAATAATTAGAACTACCAGCTTGAGTAAACTCCAAATGCATAGCTCACTAATGATAACAACCTTCCAAAATCATTGGATGTGTGCTAGGATGGGTACATTTTTAATACTTTATATTTCATCATTATTAAATAAAATCTAGATAACACTTATTGTATCTTGACACATCATCACCATCATCAGTATTTATTGAATACTGACTATGTGCCAAACTTTTTTAGTGTAGTTTCTCATGTGATACAATCCTAAGTACTACTATTACTATCCTCATTTTACAGATGAGGATCTAAGGCAAAAATTATGATATTGAGACACTTGCCCAAAGTCACATTTGAACTCACATCTGCCTTTTATATTTGATTCTCTTATTTATACTTGGGTTTCTTTTGTTTCAGTAAATCCATTGTTTTCAATTAACTGCAAAACAAACTTCAAACATATAGATTATAATCTCTGTAATAGCAGATTATAGATTTACCAGAAAGAATCACTCTCCTTTTGTAGAGGAAGAAATGTGTCTCCCATAGTGAGTTGATAAGAACTACTGCTTTATCTACTTTCCTTATCCCTGAAGTACATTAGAGGTGTTCTGTGAAATTTGCAAGTCTATTCAATTTGCAGTGTAATTGTATTGTTCATTATCTCTATTATACCTTTGTATTAAGGTAATCTTAAAAAAACTGATTTTTTCTCCTCATATCTTTTCCTTAGTTCCTATTATTCTGCAGCTTTTATCATTATAAGAATTTAAATAATTTTATAAATATTTTAAGAAAAGGGAATGACAATTTTTTTCAGAATATTGGGTTGTTGTTGTTTTTTAAGAATAAGGAGTTTGTCCAGCAACTAAAACAATTCAATAGCTAGCTTTGCAGCATCCTGTGTAAATGAGGGAGACAAGGAGATAGATTTTACATGAGGTATGCTTTATTTTTTTAAATTTGCACTAAATATCACTTTCTTATTTTTAAACAGATGTTCTCTTCTATTCCATTTTGCTTTAGGTAACCTATAGGAATTCTTGGATTGAATTACCAAAAGATTATTCTCTAAAAATTCTCTAGAGTTTCTTATATCACTGCTTTGTAGTTGGTGCATAAGAAAAAGAACAGCCAAAACCGGTTTGGCTCAGTGGATAGAGTGTCGGCCTGTGGACTGAAAGGTCCCAGGTTCAATTCCGGTCAAGGGCATGTACCTTGGTTGCATGGAGGGGTGTGCAGGAAGCAGCTAATCGATGTTTCTCTCTCATCGATGTTTCTAACTCTCTATCCCTAACTCTCTATCCCTATCCCTTCCTCTCTGTAAAAAATCAATAAGATATATTTTTTAAAAAGAAAAAGAACATATGTCACCCCAAGCACTTATACATCAGGATTTATAGCAACATTATTAATAAAAGCCAAAAAGTAATGATGACCCAAATGTCCACCAACTGATAAATGAGTTAAAAAACACAGGATATTCATACAGTACAATATGATATGGCCATAAAAAGGAATGAGGTACTGATACATGGTATGACATTGGTAAACTTTGAAAACTGTATGCTAAGTGAATGAATCCAGTCACAAAAGACCATATATTATATGATTCCAATTATATGAAATATCCAGAATAGGCAAATCTTTAAAATATTTAGAAACAGTAGATTAATGATTGCTAGAGGCTGGAGATATGTGGGACAGAGGGTGATAAATGAGGAATGACTGCTAATGGACGTGAGGTTTATTTTTGGAGTGATGAAAATGTTTTAAGTGTAGATTGTGGTGATAATCCCACAACTCTGAGTATACTGAAATACACTTTGAATGGGTAGTTTTATGGTATGTGAATTACATCTCAATAAAGATGGTAAATTGTTTTTTTAAAGAGCTAGCCAGGAAGTACTTTACTATGAGCCTCATTAGTCTGTAAGCTCCACTCCAGCAAACAAAGCTTGCATTGAGCTTTTTAGTGCATTACTCTTAAATAAAAACAGATAGCCAAGATTATCCAGATATTGGAGGAAAGACTCCAACATGAAAGACAAATAAATAGGAGGAAGGAAAAAGAACCCAAACGAAACAGAGACAATATATAGAGCCAAAAACAACTTCAGAACATAGTGAATATTTTCAAAAGATAAGATTGTGTATCTGTGAGACAATAGCAAGAAGGAACACCAATGAAATAAGGAAGAGAGCTTGGAAATTAAAAACACAAAAGCTACAGTCATGTCCCTTTCCCAGAAAGTAGAACAGAAAATGAGAAAAATCAACCCAGAAGATTCTAGTAAAAGAGAACATAGAAAAATTTTGGAGAGGAGATTTTAAAGAAATAGTATAAGGAAATTTCCTAAAACAAGAAAACATAAAAGTCCACATTGGAAATAGCACTAAATTCCCAGCACAGTGAATGAAAAAAAGACATGTCCCTCCCACAAACACACACACACACACACACACACACACACACACACAAACACAAACACACATACACATCACTTCACATCATCATGAATTGTCAGAACACTGAGACTTAAAAAATATCTTAAAAGCTTCTAGAAAGAAAAAGTAGATTACATATGAATAGAAATATTGAGAAACAGAAGTCAGTGGAGCAATGTCTGCAAAATTCTGAGTGGTAGATAGTTATTTTCAGTCCAATATTCCAAACACAGGGCAATCCTTGAATGTGAGACTTATTATAGGAGGCGGGAGTTGGTTATGTAAGCAACGGGAAACCTTTAAACATTTAACCTAATCAGAATTGTGCTATGTATGGTCTAATCGAGCAGTGGAATTTCAAATGACTTCGTTTGCAGAAACTAAGTTTGGGAGGCCAGTTAGCAAAAAGCTATTTGTAAGAAATAATGAAAGCTCTGAAGAGGGTAGTGGCAATGGGAATGAAGAGGCAGAGACAAGATAGGAGGAACATTTTAGAGGCAAAATCAATAGGATGTCACAAAGTCATTATTGTTCCAAAGCCATCTAATCAGATAAAAGCTGGTGAAGTGATTTCCTAGAATCAATATTGGCAGCGTTTTCACATTAAAGCCATGTTATGTGGGAGAGTATTGGGATAGGAGAAGACTCTGCTATTTCTGCCTTTTATTCAAATATACTTTGAAAATTTTGAAAAACTAGGAAATATTGAAAAACGGTGGTCAACTACACTGTCAGGCATTCCAGGATTCCAAATGCCTGTCTGGTTGCCAACTTTACTCTGGAAGTACTGCTTAACTCCACCAGTCTTGAAGTAAAGATAAGCACATGTAGAATTTTCTCACCCTCTTCTAATGTCCCTCAAATAAAAACCTTCAAAGTAACATTCTCTATTCTGAGGCTTACTGACAAAGCTTGTTTGTTCTTTGTCAGGAGATACCTAAAACTGAGTGTAGTGCTCTTGAGCTTCTCTTATTTAGATCTATTGTTTTAAGTTTTTATTTTGAATTTATCTACTCAAAATAAGTTGTATTGGAATAAAAAATAGTACATAGGTTGCAAACCTTTCTCCCTGCTTCCCCAGTAGTGATATCTTATAATTGTATGCATATCAAAACTAGGTAAGTAGTATGGGTATAAAACTATTAACTAGGTTACAGATATTTATAAGTTTTCTCCAATTTTTTGTATGCATTCATTTGTGTGCCAAAAGCCAAAAAGTAGTGATGGCCCAAACATCCATCAACTGATTAATTAAAAAACAGTTCTCTGCAGTTTTATCTTATGTATACATTGATAATCTATACACTACCACAATTAAGGTACAGAGTTGTTCCTTATCCAGAAAGAACTCCTGCTGCCCCTTTATAGTCATACCCGCCTCTCCCTGTCTCCTAGCAACCACTAATTTTTTAAATATATTTTTTATATATTTTTATTGAAGGTAAAGAAGAGAGATAGAAACATCAATGATGAGAGTCATTAATTGTCTGCCTCCTGCATGCTCCCCACTGGGGATCAAGCCTGAAACCTGGGCATCTGCCCTTGACTGGAATCAAACCTGGAACCCCTCAGTCCTCAGGCTGACGCTCTATCCACTGAGCCAAACCAGCCAGGGCATAATTTTTTTTTTTTTTTTTTTTTTTTACATTTCTATAGGTTTATTTCAAGAATGTTATATAAATGGAATCATATAGTATGAACCACTTAAGATTGGCTTTTTCTTTTTTTTCTTTTTCTTTTTTCTTTTTCACTAAATAGAATGCCCTTGAAATCCATCCAAGTGGTTGTATCTATCATTAGTTTTGTTCCTTGTGTTGCTGGCTAGTATTCACTGT